CAGGTCATGATCTCAGGGTCCTGGGATCGAGCCCCGCATCGGGCTCCCTGCTCAGCCGGGAGCCTGCTTCTCCCTCTCCCACTCCCCCTGCTTGTATTCCCTCTCTAGCTGTCTCTCTCTCTGTGTCAAATAAATAAATAAAATCTTAACAAAAAAAACTAGGTGAATATTTTGTCCTAATATAATGACCAAAAGGCACTTGCACGTAATGAATGAGTTAACATTTGGCTACAATTGGGATATGGAAGGAAAGCTCTAGGCTGGAGTGCTGGCTCCAGCACTTACTATAGGTGATATTCCATGACTGTGGGCATTGAATCCTCATTGGTAGGAGGTCATGATAGTGCCTCCTGCCTGCAGCTACTGTATTCTGTGAGACTGGACTTTAAATACCACAAAGCAAAATGAACACACTATTAGTTTATTAGGTTAGGAATTCTAGTGTTATTTTCTGTTTACAAAGAGATATTTTTACTTCCATTCAGATACAGAATATTCTCTTATGTAACTACTTATACTTTGTAGAGAAAAGACTTTGTAACTCAAAGTTTATTTAAAAACAGAAAACCCTCCTCCTCTACTGAGTATCACCTGTCTCCTCATGTTTCTCCCCTTTGCACCTTGAAAGAGGATAAAAGACCTAGTTCTTTATTACTGGGGGGCAAAACTGTTTTAAGAAGGTTTGCAATAAGAGGATTCAGATGGATAAATAAAGTGTGTACTCCAAAGCAAACTACTCTGCACTCTGACACCTCGAGGTAGGTGAACGTTTAGTCTCTTTCCTTTTTCCCCTCCCCCCCAGTTTGTGTTTTACTGATGCCAGTGCTCAAGCTTTGACCCTGTACTTTGCGGCGGGTTCAGCCACTCCTTCCGCTGCTGCTTCTTGGCCTTCAGGTTTTCCTCGTGTTTGCTCAGCTGGCGGTGCATGGCATGTGTCTTCTTGGGCTGCAGATCCAGGGGCTTGTACTTCTTACCTTTGTAGAATTTCCAGAGGTTCTCTTTCTGCGTCTGGTTGATGACTGTGATAACATGGGTGATGGCAGCTCGGAAGCCACGCCACCTGTCACACTGGCGACATGCAGCTGGGACAGCTCCACCTTCAGCTTTTCCAGCTGTTTAAGAAGCTCCTCCTTCTTCTTGCCAGGAAGGTCTCAAGCCTTCATCTTGGCCCTGCGTAATCCGCTGCTGCCGCCGGAAAGAGGCCGAAGGAAAGAGCTCTTTCCTTAACTTTTTTTTTTTTTTTTAAAGATTTTATTTATTTATTTGACAGAGAGATAGAGAGCACAAGTAGGCAGAGGGAGAGGGAGAAGCAGGTTCTCCGCTGAGAAGGGAGCTGGGCATGGGGCTCGATCCCAGGACCCTAGGATCATGACCTGAGCCGAAGGCAGCCGCTTAACCGACTGAGCCACCCAGGCACCCCTCTTTCCTTAACTTCTAAATTCTAAGCAGCTTTAATGAGTTTAGTATTATTAGTGAGTATGCCCTTTCTCTCCCTTAGGAAATCAACTTTCAGATGGAAAGAAACACAAAGAACAAGTGTTAAATTCACCTTTTCTTTGTCTTCCTTGGTTCTCATTCTCTCACCATAGACCAAAAACACATGCTGACCAGGATCATAACACCCAGGGGACTGGTCAACTAGCATCAACTGACACCAACGAAAAAGGTCCCGAAGGTTGAATTCCCAGGGTCCTCCTTTTTGCCCCCATTTCTTCTCAACAGTCACTTCGTGATCAATCTAAAAAGAAAACAGCATTATTGGGAAACATGTCCCATTGCTAGGTGCATTGCATTAAGTACTATCAATGTACTACAAATGCATATACAATCTGAAATAGAAATTAGCAGGTTTGATACAAATGTCTCTTTCTCCCAACCCAGACATCTAAACCAGGAATACTCTTGTAAGCATTAACACTGATACACACAATAGATCTGAATTACTGTAATCCTCAAATGAATAGGTTCTTCCACTAGAAACTTGTACAATTCAATGTGGTTTATTTTAGATAGACTGGTAAATTTGATAGTGTCCCACGATGAAAAAAATGATGCTTCTATTATAGCATGAAAACTAAAAACAATTAATACAAGTAGGTACTTACTTGGTTGTTGAAAGCAACCATCTTCTTAACAATATTTTTGTCAATGGCTGGAAACAGAGTACTGGCAATGAACTCCATGTCAATTACTGTAAGGGGATCCACAAAGACCTACAGAATCCAAAAAGAACATGAAGAAATGCTATTGCTTCTCTTTCCTGAACACCAGGAAGGACTACCACTTGTAAGTAAAATTGTTATTTAACACCAAACTAACAGCACCTCAGTTTAGATATATATAAAATTTCAGTTACAGAAATCTCTTTTCTTGCATTTTTAGGATACAGAATCCTATAAAATATTTGAAATACAGGGCAACAGAGGTTTTGTTGTTGTTAGTTCCGCTCTAGTGAATTAAAGAAAAAAAGATACATACAACTTAAGTGCATTTGTTTATATTTTTAAGTATATATATATATTTTAAATTTCTCATGTATATAATGCCCTCAAAACTCAAGATGGTAAGGCATGGGAGCATTTACTTCAAAATCTCAACTTTTCAACTTTTCAGTATGTTTGAAATTCTTCATAATACATTATTCTGAAAAGATACTCAGTAAATTATTAATTATCAATGGAAAGGGACACTGAAGAAAGCTAACATCTAGAGCCATTTCCAAATCTACAGATTAGTCAAACTTCGACAAATGTTAAAACAAGTAAGCATATGTAAGCACGCACGCACACACACACGGCGCGCGCGCGCACACTCTCCCTCTCTCTCTCTCTCCGACCTCTGCAAATGAGAATAAAGGCAGTAAGAAAGTAAGAAAGACATCAAATATTAATAATGTTAATAATGATTGACTCTGGTATGGAGAACACTGGATTTTTTATTCTTCCTGTTAGTTTTCCTTCTCACTTTAATACATCATTTTCATCATTAAAAAAATTTCAGTATTTTAATAGATCACTTAGACACCTGGAATGGTCAAAAACTGGCCTTGATCCTGAGCACGGTAATGGAATTCCTGGAGGGGTGGTCACCTTATTTTCTACTAACGGATAACACACCAGGTTCTCCAGGACTGAAGACAAAGGGACTCACACCAGGAAGGAAGTGATGATGGGCATCAGTCACGTTAAAATTCATCATATAGAGACATGGAATTGAGAAACAGATCATTAAACTGATGCTCTCTCATTCTTACAGTGAGCATCCTAACAGGTATGTGCCAGCAGTCTTATCATCCCTGACATTCCACCTTTGGTCTCCATGGCAACAGCAAATCTTACCTGAGTGAATCTGTTAAGGAAAGACCTCGGCAAGCCTTTCCTCCCACCTCCTTGTCTAAAAGGATTTTGACACCCGAAAATCTTCGTCTTTTCATGCTGTACTTGAAAACTCATTCCTAACTCAGGAACATAGATTTCTCCTCTGTGGTCAAAACAAGCATTGAGTCCTTCCAATACAGACTGAGAAGCCAGGTTGAGCTATTTGAGGAAAGTACATATATTTATTATATACGCTGTATAACTATAACAAAAAGAAGAAGAATATGCATAAATGTAGAATAGTGCTGTCTACAGGAGGAGGAAGCTCAAACAATATTGACAACATTCTTTTTTTTTTAAGATTTATTTTTTAGAGAGAGAGAAAGGAAGGGGGGAGGGGAGGAGGGGGGTAGAGAGAATGTCCAGCAGACTCCCCGCTGAGCACAGAGCCTGCCATGGGACTCCATCCCACAACTCTGAGATCATGACCTGACCCGAAACCAAGTGTCGGATGCTTACCTGACAAGCCACCCAGGTGCCCCAGTAACATTCTTTTATTTATTTTATTTTTTTAAAGATTTTATTTATTTATTTGAGAGAGAGAGAACACATG